GGAGACAGTGTAGGAGGATGTACAAGGGGCCCGTTGGGGCCTAGGTGCTGTGTGCGTAGCATACCCTCCGCTTTCCTACATACATATCAAAAATAAATAAAAATAATTTTTTGTAACATCATTTTAATTAAAATTGTATACACAAACATTACAACTATAATATAAAAAAATGTAATAATAGTAAATCTAATTAAACAAATTCGTTAGTAAATAGAACAATAATTAATAACAATGAGAGAATAGATAAAAAAGGTTTTAAATAAAAATAGTTCCGTTCCCATTGTGATATACTGATGTCTACATTGTATTGATGTAGCGTCTAAGTTCTTCTTGAGTATCGAAAATCATAACGTGGAATGGTGAACCTGGAACTAATTCTCCAGCCCATTTTACTTCTACCCTGTAATCGCCAGGTTCCGTTGGATCATACTAAAAAAAATTAATTGTTTAAAATATTATCATTTAAAACTTCTAACGGACGTGAGCGTGTCTCATGAAGAGAAAAAGAGATATTTTTTACTTACTTTACAAAGAATTGTTCTATCTTTTTGACTTTCCCTTTGCATTTCAACTCTAAAAGCTCCTTTGGGACCACGAACCCTAACAGTTAATTGACCGGCACCAGCACCTCGAGTATCGCAAATGAATCTCGATTGAAACGTTGCTAAAACTCCATGTTCAATTCCCGGACCATACACTTTCACCTAAAACCACATAAAAAATTATTTAATTAATAAAAAAATTAAGATTATTAATTTTACTTTGCTAGCATCTGGAGCACCGGCAACCCTTAAAGTGAATGGTGATCCAGGGACGTGTTGACCAGCGTATTTAATTGTTAACGCATGTTTTCCGGGTTCTTGCGGTTTGACGTTTAATGTAAAAGTAGCATCTCCGTGATCGTACAATTCGCAGTAAGCAACTTTTCTTGGCCCGGTACAATGAGCTGTTAATTCTCCTGGTCCAGCTCTTCTAGTGTCAATCCACGATCGGATTTCTCGCCCTACCACTCCTTGTCTTAAACCTTCCCCGGAACATAATACTTTTGAAGCGTCAGCTCCTCCTTTCGCTTCGACCATCAACGGGCATCCTTTAACAGGTCTTCCAGCCCATAAAACAGATAACATATAATTTCCAGGTTGGTTTATTGTATAAGTAGCCCTCCATATTTTTTCGCCAGCTAAACTTATCATAACGGGAATTGGAAGATTTGTATCAGCGGCGTGTAAAGTAACCTCGGGATTTCCAGTACCCGCTTTCGATCCGTCGATGTTAAATATAGCAGGTTCCCCGCATTGAGCTTGCGCTAATCCACGCCCAGTAAGAACAACTTGATCTCCTAAAGAAACGACATGTTTCGGCGCATCGGGAAGTTCAAAATTTGAAAAAGTCATTTCTAATTCGTGTTCGCCCGCGTTTAAACCTTCAGAGGATAAATCAAAACGAATTCTTGAACCGGATTTTTCAGCATTTATTTTTCTCCCTTCAATTTTACATTCTAAGTTTCCTGGGCCTGCGTTTGATACGTCAAATGCCAATTTTGCTGGTAACTTAATTCTTCCAGAATCGTCTAAATATTGATTCCAACCACCTATTAATCTTACAGATGATGGATCTACTGAAATTGGTCTAAATGGACATCCTGGAAGCTAAAAAAGAAATTTTATTAGATTTTGATTTGAATTTGTTAGTAGAGTAAAATCTCAATATAATATTTATTGAACGAAAAGTAGAAAACCGTCTTAAGAGACGTGAGGCTAAACCCGAATGATTCTAGTTTTAAGTATAGTGTTGGTTCTACTAACAGTGCTAGTGTAAAACTGCTCTCAAGACTTTGACATTTGACAGTTTCTAACATAACTTTTTAATTGTTTAAAATCAGTTACATGCAACTTATTGCATTTTTTCACATAAGAATTTTTTTTGGATGAGTCGGATGTAGTCATATTTATCTATTTCTTAATAAGCATCAACTTAGAAAAATTTTTTAATTATAATGGTACTCTTTTTTTAACATAAATGGATAGAAAATTAAAAATTCTTTAAAATGAACCCAAACTCGATCTCTTTATCTCCAACCGTTATCGAGATATCTTAATTTTTAACAAAAAAAAATGGCGATTATTTGACATTTGACAGTTACATATAACCTAGCTTTTTCATTTTTTAACCCAAAGATATCGTGTTTGGTATCAAATTAAAGCATTTTTGATTCTTATTAAGATCATTTCAATAGTTATCAAAAAATCGTTACATTTAATTTTGACATTTGACAGTTTCTAACCTAACTTTTTAATTGTTTAAAATCAGTTACATGCAACTTATTGCATTTTTTCACATAAGAATTTTTTTTGGATGAGTCGGATGTAGTCATATTTATCTATTTCTTAATAAGCATCAACTCAGAAAAATTTTTTAGTTATAATGGTACTCTTTTTTTAACATAAATGGATAGAAAATTAAAAATTCTTTAAAATGAACCCAAACTCGATCTCTTTATCTCCAACCGTTATCGAGATATCTTAATTTTTAACAAAAAAAATGGCGATTATTTGACATTTGACAGTTACATATAACCTAGCTTTTTCATTTTTTAACCCAAAGATATAGTGTTTGGTATCAAATTAAAGCATTTTTGATTCTTATTAAGATCATTTCAATAGTTATCAAAAAATCGTTACATTTAATTTTGACATTTGACAGTTTCTAACCTAACTTTATTTTTTTAAGCAAAATATATCGAGTTTGGTATCAAATGAAAGCATTTTTGATTCTTATTAAGATCATTTCAATATTTATCAAAAAATCGTTATATTTAATTTTGACATTTGACATTTTTTAACCTAACTTTTTTACTTTTTAACCCAAACATATCGTGTTTGGTATCAAATTAAAACATTTTTGATTTTTATTAAGATCATTTCGGCCGAAAACTCTTTTCTTTTGCGAGTTATTTATTGCGTTAGTTATTACTGCGAGTTAAGCAGTCTAAGATGTTTCCAAATATCCAGATTTTACTGTATTATCAAATTTTTGAATCTTTTGAAATTGAATCATTTAACTTACATCATTCAATCCGATACTAATGATAACATCATAAATTCCAACCCATTTCGGAGTATAACTAACAAGATATTCTCCAGGTTTTGGCGATTGAATCTGCGCATCAATACTTCCTTCAACTGCTTCTATTTGTACACGAGGTTGCACAACGCTGCTAACCGTAAAATTAGTTCTTTCTCCGACTTGAACGCATTCCAAACCTTTTCCAACGGCTCTCGGAGGTGGGGTAGGTCCAACAGGACCGACACCCAAAGCTAATGGTGATCCCTTAACTGGGCTACCTCCGTAAGTAACGACAACTTGATACAACCCCGGTAACAGTGGCAAGAAAGAAATTTGTGTGACGTTTTCTTCGACGATAATTTGTTGTACATTTAACCATTGACCAAGAGGGTTGGTTACTGTTATTTCTAAATCGGCTTCACCCGCGTTTTTATTTACAACGTTAAAGATGACTTTTTCGCCTACGTTTCCTTGAGTTGTTGGAATATCGATTATTTTAACGCAATCGGGATCGTAAGCTTGGCAAAGAAATGGACTTCCCGTAACCGGTTTTGCTTGATGAAGTACTTCAACTTGATGTGGGCCGACATCTCTTGATGTGAATTCGGCTTGGAGTTTTCCTGTTTTCGTTTGATAGCATCTAACCGGAAGAGCCGATCCGGTTGGTCCACTAACAACTACGTCGAATTCTCTTGCTGATCTTCCTAAAGTGTCTATATGGAATGATGTGACTTTACCTAAACGAGCTTGATACAATCCGAGTCCTGCAGCCCATGGTTCATTTCCGGGTGCTTTAACGGGAATTTCTAAAACTCCTGGTTTAGGAACACCGTTATATAAAAGTGTGACTCGATGCGGAGCGGCGTAAATTGGATGAAAAACGATTTCCCATATGCTTGGATTTGATGGGCTTTGCCTTACACTGTATGGAATCTCACGGTTACCAACTTTAACGATTGCTGATAATTTTCCGGGTCCCACTCGATTCAAATTAACTCCAATAACCGCGGGGCGATTACAAGTACACTCAGGTGCGTTAACAACATCGATTTTATTTGTATCATAAACGTGTAATGTTCTTGTTGTTATTAATTCTAAGCTTCTAAAAATTTGTATTCGATAGGTTCCGGTTTGGGAAGCTGTAAATTCTGCTTTTCCATTTGTTGCAACATATTTAACACTATGATTATTGTTATCGATTATTTCTAAACGATGTTGATCGGTTGGTAAATCAATATAAACCATTGATCCAATTTGTATGTATTGAGTTGCTTCGATGACGGAGCAATGAAATGGACTTCCGATTACTGACATATCATTAAATGTGATATTAACAAAATGATCTTCGCTACTTTGCGGTACAAAAGTGACGTCGTATAATCCTCTTGCGCACGCAACAACTTCCGCTTTTATCGTTGTATGTTGCGTTGAAACGACTAATTCTAAAGTACCTTCGCCCGCTTGGGCAGCATCTACACTAAACGTTACTGGTTTTCCTACTTCTGCAGGAGGAGAATCTTTTAAAGATAATTCAGATAACGCACGGGTTATATCAGATTTTTGCCCAGGTAACCCGCTAACCATCACTTTATTTACATCGTAAACGTTACAACTAAATGGAGATCCAATAACGTGTTGATCATTTATTAAAATCGCAACGGAATGTCTTCCAACCATTTCCGGTGTGAATTTAGCGACGAATCCATCAGATGCAGGTATGATTCTGGATGATAAAATCTTTCCCGTTGGCGCTGTTGCGATAACTTGCGGTTCGGATGTTGATGTATTTCCGGGATTTTCAATTTTAATTTCTGCAGGATGTCCAACTGCGGCTAATTCAATTCCAGTGCCGGAAACGGGAACTCTCGGTTGGGTGTTTCCGGGACTTACTTTACAACTAAATGGTGACCCGGGAACCGCTTGCCCGTTAAATCGAACGCTTAAAGTGTGAACGGCTGCTTCTGTTGGTTTAAAGTTAACTTTAAATCTCGCGTTTCCCTCGCTTTGTACAAAATTTGGTACATTTCTTCCGTTAACGGCTACTATTATTTCTAAATTCCCGGCTCCAGCTTGCGAAGCGTTTATACTAAAAGATACGGGTTTTCCAACTATTCCATCGTTTATATCGGTTACACTAACTCGATTTGCATCATATGCTTTAACCAAAAAAGGACTTCCTTCGATGTGGAAACCTGGTAGTCTAACTTCGACGCTGTGATCTCCCACATCCATCGGGGTAAAACTAACATCGTATTTTCCGGCGGTGTTTCCGACTTGAGGTGTTACTTGCGTTGAAAGAGATCGTCGCGCAGGGCCTAAAACTTCGACAACGGGTGGATTGGGGCTTTCGACGGAAAATGTACAAGCTCGTCCAACAGAAACTTTATCTAAAGCTTCCGGGGCTATTATTCGAGCCGCGGGGGCTACTATACATTTAAATGGACTTCCGGGTACATCTTGCCCATTAAATCTTAAATCAACCGAGTGCGGTGTTGCGTCTCTCGGCGTAAAAGATATTGCGTAAGTATGGGGACCTTGAGCTTGCGCGGATGTTGGTACTCTTCCGCCGTTCACCGTTACTTCTAAATTTCCGGGACCTGCTTGACTGGTCTCAACTAAAAATTAAGAAATAATTAAGATTAAGTAATTATGAAAAAAGAAACAAACCTAAGAATGTTACTGGTTTTCCAATAATTCCCATAGTGGCTTCTTTGACCTTGATGGCTTGGACATCGTAAACTTTCGCAGCGTAAGGACTTCCGGCAGTGGGCACCCCATTAACACTGACACTAATTCGGTGTTCTCCGACTACTCTAGGAACGAATTCGGCTCGAAATTGATTGTTACCAAGCGGTTGGACTTGCGTTGGAACCGATTGTCCTCCGGGGCCTAATTTAATCCAATTTTTGGATTGGGATTTAAGGATGGAAATTGATTAATTTTTTTAATTAGTTATGACTAATTTAAATCAATTATTTTAATGTAAAGATTACTGCATTTTTTGGGGTAAAAATAAAACGTTGTTTAAAACGTTACGCATATGGCACAAATTCCTTTCTTTTTTTGTATATTATTATGGCACTTAAATGGCCTTGATTACGAATAATAACAACACATTAATGCATTACGATGTTGTTATGAAACTCCACTTCTTATTCGAATTCATTAATATGGAGTTAATAAAGCGAATTGCGTAACGTTTTTTTTTTCTTTTAATTTATGCAAAAAAAGGAAAGTATACTCTATTCGGTGTGTAATTAAAATTATCTCGATTCTTTAGTACTTTTAATACGTAAGTTATAATGTGTGGGTGGTTAAATAATATCGGTGAAATACGGGAATGAAAATTACTACTTAAAAGTTAAAGTAAACAACATGCAGTGTATTAAGAAGTTTCGAGGTTAACCTTAATTATGTAAGATGATTAATTTGCATGGTAGTGATGAAACAATTTTAAAAATTGTATATGAAGGTTGAATTATTTTGTACTATATCGATGTTATATGTTTCTTTTATTCCCTACATGTTTAGAGGATACGAGTCCTCATCTTCAGGAAGAATTCGTCAATCTTATAAATATAAATTTCACCATGCTTTATTTCTGTTATTTGTAATCGCTGATGGTTTCTGATTATTTCTGTAATCCTTTGATGTATTCCTGTTGTTGCGGCGTGTTTGTCTTGGCAATCGTCACAATCCTCCATTCCCAAGGGTGAAATTTATATTTATAAGATTGACGAATTCTTCCTGAAGATGAGGACTCGTATCCTCGAAACATGTAGAGAATAAAATAAACATATAACATCGATAAAGTACAAAATAATTCAACCTTCATATACAATATTTACACGATGTTAAGAAAAGAAAACAACAATTATAATTTTAAAAATGTTAGAAATTAGGTAAGAATGTTTTTATATTGTGAGGTCCAATATGTTTATGATTATGATCAAGTACTGCATTGACGCTGCTAAGCCAAAACATTTACTACTTGATTTATCAGAAAACACAAAAAAAATTGTCATCATATTATAGCGTTTTGTAGTTTGTTTGATATTATTTCGCTTTAACTATTGGATACAGAAAAATCCTGTTCAACCCAACCATCCCATCGAAAAAAGCTAAAATACAATCTATCTTAAAAACAGTTGATGATACCACTTAATAAATGATACTAGGCGTAGAATGAAGATATACAGGGTGTATCTGAATGACTGCAACAAACTTCAAGGGGTGATTCTTTAGTGAATTTTAAGGGTACTTTGATATATGAACCATGGGCGACTTCGGCTCCCCTAAGGAGCTACATCCCTTCAAAAATGGCGGAAAATTTTGGTGTAATTTTTTTTTCTCAAAAACCATAGACGCTAGGAAAATGAAATTTGGGGAATATGTTTAACTCATAATAGGGCACGTTTTGGCCCTATTTGTACTTTCAACCTACCCTTCTAAACTACTAAACGCAACCACCCCTGTTCAATTTATGCCTAGATTTTTTTATGAAGATGATAAATACATCGGAAAAATTTCAGTTAGATAGATAAAATTATTCTAAAACTTTTTTGTCTCTCTGATGTTCTTCTAAAATTTAATAATTTCTGAGAAAAAAAATAATTAAGCAAACACTAACTGTTAAGTTGTAGGGTTGTTAATCGAAAGTTGGAATGAATTTTTAATGAAAAAATCTTAGTAGGCTTTGCAATCTGTCATAAATATTTTTGACGTTTAAATGTCAGTGGTTTTCTTACTATTATTACTGTTTCATTTAAAATTTTGAAACGTCGAGTGAACGAGCGTAAATGCGATAGAACTTGATTTAAAAATTAATTTGAGAAACAATAATAATGGTAAGAAAAACACTGACATTTAAACGTCAAAAATATTTCTGACAAAGATTGCAAAGCCTACTAAGATTTTTTCATTAAAAATTCATTCCACCTTTTGATCGACAACCCCGTTGTTTAACGGTCAGTGTTTGCTTTATTATTCTTTTTCTCAAAAATTAGTCGTTTTTGGAAAAAATTTAGAGAGACAAAAAAGTTTTAGGATACTTTCATCTCCCTATGTACATTTTTTCTAATGTATTTATCATCTGCATACAAAAAATTTTAGCAAAAATGTAAAGGGGGTGGTTAACTTTTAGTAGTTTAGAAGGGTAGGTTGAAAGTACAAATAGGGTCAAAACGTGCCCTATTATCAGTTAAACATATTCCCCAAATTTCATTTTTCTAACGTTTATGGTTTTTGAGAAAAAAGAATTAAACCAAAATTTTCCGCCATTTTTGGAGGGGTGTAGCTCCTTAGGGNTGGTTTTACGATATTTTCAATTTTGGCCTCTAGGGGAAAAACAAAAGACGGTAGCGCTATGAGGTTTTCGGCATTAGCAGTTTCTCGAAAAACGAGATCATGACATGTAAGCTACTTTTTTTCTAACTCTTATAGTTTCCGAGTGAGCCTATTCGGACATCGAATTTGAACCACCCTGTACATCAAATAGATGAAACAACAACGACCAACACAATAACATTGAAGAGAGGTGTAAGAAAGGAGACTCCATTTCACCAACACTGTTCACACTAGCTCTGAAGGAAGTATTTTAAGCGAATTCACATAGTTAGGCCACACTATTAGATTGGAAAAGAAATCCAACACATAAAAGTCACAAGGCGTATAGGACTGGCGTAGATAGTTTTTGGTAAACTGACACACATTCTAAGAAATAATAGGATTCCTATAAATCTGAAGCGAAAGGTATACTAATATAAGGACCGGAAACAACCAGTCTAACAAAAGCATGTGCAAATTCTTAACAACTCAAAGAGCTATGAAGCGATGCATGCTAGACGGCTCACTACATGACAAAATAAGAAACAAAAACGTTTAGAGACAAAACTGATATAACTCATCAAGTGGCCAAGATGAAATGGAATAAAAGGGCATGTAGCCAAGTAAGCTAGTAACAGGTGGGCATATAGAGTAGCAGTGTGGAGGTTTAGACAAATTAAAACAAGTGTTGGATATTCTCAAAACTGTTGGGCGGAATAGAACACAGAACATCCACTTATTTACTTTAGGGAGTTTATACTACAGCAAGAAAGTTATTAACTTAAGAACTAACAAACATAATCATTTTCTAATACCAATCTAATTATTAAAAAAAGTTGGAAAACAATTTGATTTGTATTCAAATCATTTTAATACAATTATCTGGGTTTTCCAACCGAGAAAATCGTTTGTAATTGCAAATCTTTTAAGAATAGGCGATCAAACAAATCGTCTTATTGTTCTTACACGATAAAAGGTCGTTAATAATAGGTGAAAGTCGTTTGCCTTTTTTTTTTTACATTCACTTTTGTTATCGAACGCATTCTTTGATAGTAATTGCATATACAATATACATAACATTTCCATTCCAACCACCTTTATGTTTAATTCAAAACAAAGTTGCACGATTTCCTTTTTTTTATTCCTTTAAATCACTTTCTCTCATTAAAAAAAAACTGATTAATTTAGTTACAAATTTTATTTATATAGCTCGAGCGTAGTTTTAATCATTTGGTTAACGAAGCGAAACGGTATTTAATTCAACCACGTTTTCAAGATAACGTGGTATTTTATTCTTTAACGGAGTAGGTCATTACAGAACTACGTTTATTCGCTTGAATTGAATGTGGGAGTATATCATAGTGTCGTGTCATAAAACACAATTTAATGATTTCACCTTATGGAATTAACGCCACGTCATCGAATTTAGTAATTGCAGTCGATATCAACAGAAATTTGAAGGACATTTGACTATCTACTTGAAAAGTTGTTAGCTTGGATAATGTTAATGACATAATTAATGGGAAAAGTTGATGATTTTAACTGTAAAATATATTTAAGAACCGTGACGGTTAAAATAGTTTCTTTGATTCAAAACGGAAATAGAGCTTATCTAAATCAACAATTTTTTTTGTTAGTAATGAATTAATAGAAACTTGTCTTACCTCTAAATTGTACTGGTTGACCAACAACTCCGCCACTGACGTCCGCGACCTGTATCAATCCAGCATCATACACTTTCGCGATCAACGGCCCCGAGGGCAGTTTTTCGCCGTTCACCGCGACCTCGACGATGTGCGTTCCGACCTCCGTTGGAACGAACTCAACACTCTGCACGCCGGTTCGACTTCCGGGCAAAACCCGCGCCTGAACCGATCGTTTACTAGGCGACAAAACATGCACCGTTAAATCGTCCGGAGCGATATTTGTACTCGTTATTATTTCAAAAACGGCGGCGGCATTTGCCGCTACCAATCTCGTTGCTTCCCCGAGCACTGACAGCGAAGAATTCGACGACATGACGACGTTCACCTGCCACGGACTCCCTTCAAGAAACAATAACACAAAACCCGAGGATAACAACTACGTTAAAACATTTTTAAATCAAAAAATTCTACGAGTTTAAATCCGAAAAAGTTTAAAGTTTAATGTTTTCAAACAAAAAAGAGTGTTGATGCGAAGTCGGTCGTTCTAAATGAAAGACTGAGCGGTGAAGACTGAGTTTGGGTCTCTTTGGTTGGTTCTCTATGTTGTTACACTCTCTCTCTTTCTCCCAAGTCGCGGTGCTCACCGAGTTTCATGCGGAAAGAGAGATACAAGAAAAGAAAAGTTGTAGAGGGAAAAGGACGTAGGCGCGATTGTTGGTTGAATTGGGAGGTGGAGTGAGACGGCAGCGGTTGCATTCCATGAGTTGCCGACACTCCCAAATGAGTACGCGGAGAATGTATAGTGAGTTGTATGGGGATACCTATACCTACCTGGAACAGGACCGGAATCGAATATTATAAATCACGATATATCCTTAAATGTTATTATATGAAAGATATATTATAAAATTTATAATAAAATTCCCTAAAAATGACATAACATTTCTAATAGAATACTTTTTCTCATATCCATATACAGTGTGTCCCCGGATAGGTGAAACGACTCTTATAAANCCACCTTTTGATCGACAACCCCGTTGTTTAACGGTCAGTGTTTGCTTTATTATTCTTTTTCTCAAAAATTAGTCGTTTTTGGAAAAAATTTAGAGAGACAAAAAAGTTTTAGGATACTTTCATCTCCCTATGTACATTTTTTCTAATGTATTTATCATCTGCATACAAAAAATTTTAGCAAAAATGTAAAGGGGGTGGTTACGTTTAGTAGTTTAGAAGGGTAGGTTGAAAGTACAAATAGGGTCAAAACGTGCCCTATTATCAGTTAAACATATTCCCCAAATTTCATTTTTCTAACGTTTATGGTTTTTGAGAAAAAAGAATTAAACCAAAATTTTCCGCCATTTTTGGAGGGGTGTAGCTCCTTAGGGGGGCCGAAGTCGCCCATGGTTCATATATCAAAGTACCCTTAAAATTCACTAAAGAATCACCCCTTGAAGATTGATGCAGTCATTTAGATACACCCTGTATATAAATTTTAGGGTTTTTAAAATTACTTAGCACTTACTCTTATTTTAAGAACGGTTAGAGATACAAGTTAAAACTAAGAGTATCTTGATACTAGCAGTGGAATTAATGCTGAGACGTCTGATTCTTGTATTAATATTACTCCAAATGTATAATTTTCTTAGTTTTACTTTTTTGTACTGCACGAATATGGTTTTTGTTGTGAACAGTGATTAAAATGCCCTTCAGTATTTAGATTTTGCATACTGTAAGTAAAAAGTGACAATTTTGCCGTGAATACCGTTTTTTTCTTAGCAGCATCAACATATTGGATCTCACATAAATATTATTATTATATCAAATATATTGTTTATGTTTATTATGACATTAACGGTTATAATAAATTAATAAGAAAAAGTTGGTGTATACAGTTACAGTGATTTAAGCGGATGTGTGCATGTAAATGAGAATCTATAATTGAATCCAGCAAATAACAGTAATTTTGAAATTTACAGTTTGATTTTAGACAAAAAAAATTAAAAACGAAAATTATGATTTTGATGTTAAAGTATAGATAAGATGAAAATGAATAAAAATGTCCCCATAAAATAAATACAGCAATATGTACATTTTTCTTTTCGATTTTATTAATAAAAATTAAAGACACAAAAAAGGAGATTAAGGATTTTTTTTGTGTGTGGAAAAGTTAGTAAGAGTAGATAATAAAAATAGATGGGGTTAATGAGTAGAGAGACAAGTCGGTCCTAATACAACAGTTTCCTGTGACCTGAAAATGAAACAGAAAGTGCAAAAATGATGGTCGCGATTACGAACAGGAAAGAAAACAACAAAAGGAAAATTGCCACACATGCATATATTTCTTACGTATAAGTTTCTATATCGTTTTTTTAAGTTTCAATCACAGAATAGAGTACACATTTTATTTTCCTTACTATACAACTAACTACATACTAAAAACGAACTAAAATAAGCATTCTAAGTAGAAAAGAAAAACAGTTGGAGAAGTTTCTTTTTAATTAACAAAAATGATTTTAATTTAATTCCTTAAATGTATTTAAGGAAGTGATAAAAATTCGAAAGTTTAGCAACAATTCACAGGAATGTGATCTCAACCACGCCTGTTGCATAAATTTAAAGGTCAGCGTTATACAATTTCTTCGCGTACTTTATCTTACTCAAATAGAATACTAAGAAGCAAGAATTTCTATATCTCATTTAAATCGTTCATTAATTTCAACATTTATTTCTAGATCAAACGAAGAAATCTTTTATGACCCAGCATTTCGCTTTTAGAAAGCTAACATCTGTTATTTACCTCTAAATTTCTTTTTCTCCAACCGGTTGAAAGAAAAAAAGAACTAATTTAAACCTTAAATACAAAAAAAAACTTCTCCATCATTTTCTTTTTTTTTTGAAAAAATAAATTTCTTGTATCCTCACCCTCAACATTAATTTCAATATCTTCCAACCTCCCCGGATGATTAATCAATAAAGTGCTGGGCCTATGAATAGGTCCAGGTCCTGGTAATGTAACGCTCGGTCCACTTCCTGTACCACCTCCAACCCCAACGATTAATGGACACCCAACCACAGGTCGTTTATTAAATGCTACATTAACCACGTGATCACACGCTTCCGCCGGGACAAAACTAACAGCGAATCTTGCATTTCCTTGGGGGTGGACTTGAGTTGGAATGTTCATTCCTCTCGCTGAAATGGTGATTTCTAAGTTTCCCTCGCCCGCTTCGCTAGCGTCTACTGAAAAAGTAACCGGTCTTCCAACAGTTCCACGTGCCACATGACCCACAGTTACTCGAGAAGAATCAAACGCTTTCGCAATAAATGGAGTTCCTTGAACGGGTCTTCCATTATAATCGACTGTAATTTGATGGGCTCCAACTTGACTCGGAGTAAATTCTGCCGTAAATCCGGAATGTATATCACCGATAACTTTAACCGGTAATTCACCGATTGGGCCACGAACGGCCACAGCTAATTCTGCTGCTCCTCCGCCGGCTACTCCCATATGGAAGGAGCTTGGTTGGTTTACGGGAATTAATTCTAAATGTGTTAAGCTTAAAGTTACTCTGCTGGTATCGGCCACCGAACAAACAAACGGACATCCTCGAACGGTTTCTCCGTTGAATTTTATATCGATTAAGTGCGGTTTGGCGTGATCGGGGGTGAATGATACTAAACATCTTCCACCACCAACCACTTGAACGTGATTTGGAACTTCTCCTTCGTTTATTGAAATTTCTAGTTGACCTTCTCCAGCTTGACTTGCATCAACTGAAATTAAATGGAAAAGAAAAATTATTATTTTAAAATTAAAATAATATTATAATAATATTAAATTCTTACGTATTATTTATTATAAATTTTCTTGAAATTTAAAAACGTCAGATTAAACGTCATAATGTTTTCATATGTCATTTTTAAACGTCAAATGTCATTAGACTCAATGGCTTCATCTATCGGTGAAATCATTAAACGTTTAATGTTCAGAAATATTTCATGTAATTTCTGATTATAATAAAGTAATGATAATTAATACGATCTATATTTACGTCAGGGTTGGCGATTTAGAAAAAACGAACTTAGTTGTGCATCTCAATGTCTGTAGCATAGAGGTAAACTGTCGTATGTCCATATTTGAGCAAATTTTAGATTATATCATTTTACCTCTCAAAAATCTTCAAATTTTACTGTGGCAAATTTTGGTATGTCTAACTCTGCTAGTTTTCCATATATTTACGTTAGAAACAGTAGCATCTCCTGTAATGCAATGAAGTAAACAATATTATGTCCTTTCGCGGTAGTATGCATGACTGGCGTGTCTTATTTTCGTTAATATTATAAAAGAGAAATTTCTGAAACCAGCTTGCCGACCCTGTAAGAAAAAATGTTCAGAACAAATAAATGAAGATGACCGAAAAGAAATATTTCGCAATTACTGGGATGAGCCGAAAACTTGGGATCTGAAAAGACAGTTCATACGGAGCCATGTAAGAAGTGAACCCATTAGGCGAGAAAGGCGAAAAGATTTTAGCAGGTCTGGCAAAAAACAAACAATTCGATATCATTTTGATGCGAATGGGAAAAGAGTTGAAGTTTGCAAAGTGTTTTTTCTGAATACATTAGGGGTTTCAGAAACAGTAGTAAGGACGGCTCTAAGAAAAGGAACAACCGGAGGTTTTGTTCATCAGGATATGCGAGGTAGGCATACACCTCCAAACAAACTTCAGGAAAGTGTCCTTGACCAAGTTAGAGCTCATATAACTTCGTTTCCAGTATATGAAAGTCACTATACATGAGAAAAAAGTGCAAAACAATATTTGGGAGCTGAACTTAATACTAAAAAAATGTACGAACTCTACAAGCGAAAGTGTCTTGAAGATGGTACTCCAAAAAATGAAGTAGTCAAGCATTGGGCTTACAAACGCGTTTTTGATAGAGAGTTTAATTTAGGTTTTAAGAAACCCTCTAATGACACATGTAATGCTTGTAATAGTTTCATTTTAAAACTAAAGGACGATTCTCTAGACCAAAACAACAAGGAAGATGTTCAGCAGGCGTACCGTGATCATCTTGACGAAGCCGAGAGACGCTACCTAGAAAAAAGGAATGACAAACTCATGAGCAGAAGCACCAACAAAACAAAAGTAATAATGTTGGACTTGCAAAAATGCTTACCTACACCGTATCTGTCAAATTGTCAAAGTTTCTACTTGTTAAAATTGTGGACACTCAATCTGACAATATATGATGCTACAGAAAAAAATCATACTGTGTAACTTGGGACGAGTCAAAAGCTGGAAGAGGCGGAAACGAAATAGCCTCGGCGTTATTGAAATGGGCTGCTAGTGTTCTTTCTGGAAGTGAGTTAGAACATTGGATAATATGGTCCGATAACTGCCCAAGCCAAAACAGAAACATAATGGTGTTAATCAGTTACTTTTGGCTTTTAAATGTATGCCCTTCCCTAAGAACTGTTACTCATAAATTTTTATTGCGTGGACATACCCACATGGAAGCCGACCATACGCATGCATTAATTGAAAGAACCGTCAAAAAACAACCACCAATNTTAGGACCTCAATAATAAAAAAAAAATTTTGGCATTCCATTTAAAAAAAAAAAGTTGACAGTCGCCATTTTGAAATAATTCTTCCAATTGAAAATGTGGCATCACCATCGTGTAGAGAATGACCCAAAACATATTACTGCCAAATATTTTGAAAGTAGTACCCATAGTGTGGCTAAAAAAAAATAAGGCACTTACTCTGAATCAGGCTGTATATAAAACATTGCCTAAATCCGGTCCTGTTAATAAACTCAAGACAACGTAAGTCGATTTACACTCCATCCAAAGTACAGCTATCGATACCGATACCAAAGAATCTTTCGCGCGCGCACTACAACACGTTAAGAAAAAAAAAAACTTTAAAGAGCCCCGCGCCCGAAAACGAAGACCTCATTAATGTCAGTAGGACATAGCTGGAAGGCAAACATCCAGACTGAATCGTCTATATCACGACGATTTTCTCTTTAAAAGAACCAACCAAATCGAAACCGTATCTTCACTAATTGCAATTAAAAATAAAGCTTACAAAGCGAAAGCAAATGGAAAAAAATTAAGATGTCATTGCATAAATATAAATACCGCCTAAAAGATATATTGGAAAATAAAATCGTACATCACCAACATACTTTCTTAAACAATTTAAATACGACCACGTGAATTGTCTTGTGTAGGTGTTTTATGCAAAAACTCAAATAGACGTTTTCACATATCTTAACGAGAAAGACGCCTCGTTGTACACATGGTCTCAAGTAAGTATTTATATGCAATAACATCGACATTTCGAAAACTTGGGGAAGAGAGAAAAATAAGCTTGCGCAAAACTTTATGAATTGTACTTACCCGGAACTGTGTCCCCATTAAATCTGATATCAACTCGGTGCGGAAGAGCTTGGTGTGGGGTAAAAGCCGCTTTAAATCTTTGTCCACCTAAACTTCTTACGCTCGATGTTACTCTTCCACCTTCAACAAGTATTTCAAGATCGCCAGAACCAGCACCAGAACCATCAACTGAAAAATATGTGTGTATTAAAATCTTCAGAATTTTGAATTAGTTTAGTGATTCCCAAATAGGGGTTGCTATGAATTATTGAAGAAGTTTTGCAAGATTTTGGATGATGTAGATGTACTTGAGTGATCAGAAACTATAAAGGAGAGGGGCATGATGTTGAACAAGATGGAGAGTCAAGTGATGGTGGTGAAGGAGCAGGTAAATAACATCCAAAGCAGCTATCAATGTCTGGCTCGGAGCAGAGTTACTTTTGACATACATTTCTTAATCACTTACTTTCAAATTCGACTGGTTGCCCCAAAATACCATCAGGTACTGGCTGAACTTTCACAGCACCTGCACCCCCGCCTTTACCACCAACGCGATAAGAATAATTTTCCCCTGAAGAATATTTATTGGTACTATAATTTTGAGAAGAACCATAATTGTACTCATTAAAATCTTCTTCTTTTTTATGATGATACACCCTTGAATTTAATTGTTCTTCAGTCAAATTAGCAATTGATTCCAAACTTCTTCGCGATAAAATATTCTTTGTTTTTGCTATAGCATCCCAAGAATCCCTTCTCGCGCCCTTATCATATTGGGAAACTTTAACGATAGGGGAAGTATCGACTCCGTCGTCGGTTCTATCGTAAGAATTGAATCTCGATTCGGTTTTTTGCGTGCTGTATTTCGAAGAGGAATAAACGTTTTCTGGACTTGGTCGCTCAACGGGAATAAAATTTTGACTTTTGCTGGGTGCATCAGAAATTTTCATCGAAGACATTTTATTAACGTAACTGCTTTCGTAATCGTTGGATTGTTTCGTAAAAGATGATGGACTAGAACTTTCAAAACGAGTGTTACTATTTAATTTCCTGCTGGTGATATAATCAGGACTTTGAGCTCTCCCAAAAGCGGGACTTGGAATTCTAGCGAAACCGGGACTTTGCGCTCTCGGTGCTAAAGACGGACTACTAGCCCTTGGAATATATCCAGGACTACTTGTTCTTTCATCGAAAATTGGCGAATTTGACATTCGCTTCTCTAATAAGCTTTTAGCTCGGTATTCTTGAGTGTATTTCGTGTTGTTTAATTCTTTTAATTCTTCAACCGGACTAGAAAAATTATAACTTTTCGTAATGTAACGTTCTGAGTTAGGACTAGGCGAATTTAATTTAGGGCTGTGCCTAACGTAAGTCGCATTCGGGCTATTATTAGTTGAAGAAGATTTCGATCGTCTTTGAGTACCAACTCTCATCATAAACGGGGATCCTTTAACATCGTAACCATTAAAATAAACATAAACCCGGTGTTTACCAGCTTCTTTAGGTATAAAGTGAATTCGATATAAAAATCCGGAATTGTCAACTTTCTCTAAACGACAATGAACGGAGCGTTTATCATGAACAACGTCCGCAAATACTTCGCCAGGCACTCCAACTCTTCTACAATCCAAATCGATTGCGTGAGGAATCATGGGTAAAGCTCCTTCCAAACCGGATACTTGAACTCCGTTTGGATCAAAAACTGAGCAAGTAAATGGACCACCTTGTATTTGTTTTCCTTGATATGTTATTTCGATTCTCCATTCTCCTGGTTCGTCAGGTTTAAATGTTGCGCTATTTGTGCCATCGACTGTTGTTAATGGGCACTCTAATGGACGTCCATTTGGGCTATAAGCTGTTACTAGAATGTCTTCACGTCGTGGTGCTCCTAAAAATTAATTGTTTTAAATCAAAATGTGATTCAATTAAGATATGAATATAGTAATAATTATTGTACCTGTTGCATTAACTAAAACTTGAACGAGTGAACCCAGAGCACAAGGTGCCATTCCAGGTGGAGCTACATCAACCATCCTGGGTAACACCCTAAAAAAGTTTCCAGTGGAAACTTCTTCGCCGTCATACAAAACAACGAGTTCGTGCATGCCCACTTTTAACGGAACATAAATTCCTTGACCATTTTTGTAATTGTTACATCTATATACTTTGTTGTCTGGTCCTCTAACTTCAATGGTGACGTTTCTGTGTGATAGTTGGGGGTCTAATAATTGGCATTGAAATCTAGTCTAAAATTAAAATTAAAAATTAAAAATGAATCATTTTATTTTAATGATTTTATACCGGTTCTCCAACTCTTCCTGATGTTGATTCTAATCGAACGTTAATCATATCTTGTAAAGGAGGTCTTTCCGGGACCCATTGATAATACGCAGCGTAAGCCATCACTCCAAGATGTTCCACATTATAATCGGCCATATCTTTAGGTGATAAAACCGGTTGGACTCCTAATCGTTTTCCGGCTTCAATTGCTTGAGTCCAATTCGTTTCCCAATAAGCGGGATCACTCCGCATTTTCTCCGGAGCAGGCCCAGATCCTCCTAAAGATCTAATAATTTCACTAACAACTTTTCCATCATTCCAATGAGTCTAAAAATCAAATCCCATCAGAATAAATAATAACAGAAAAAATTTAGAATTTACAGTAAAATTTTCAACGGGTTTTTCTAATCTTGAATTAACCCATCTTAATGTGGCATAAAATCCCGGTGATCCCGGTTTCATAAAATACGATAAATACGTCATTCCTGATAATTCATCCAACCAGGGTGAAGCTAAATATTCTGGCTCTAAAACGGCGGGAATTCCCAAATCGCGTTGGGCAATCTCCATGGCTCTCCTACAATTTTCGATGCCATTGTGTTTATCTAAAAAAAGACCAATTTATGTGATAGAAGAGTATGATAGGAAGATTTACCAAGCTTTCTCCAATGTGAAAATAAACCAGGTCTGCAATAATCAATTAGCGCGGATAAAAGAATACCCGAATTCCAATCGGTTGTAAAGTTGGAAACTTTGCATTCGGGAAGAACAGCTTGAAGCCAGGCGAGCATAAGTTTTCTGGGCGGAAATTTGGATTTTCCGATTTGGTATCGAACGATTAACGACCAAATTAGACCAAGAATTAATTTTAAGTTACCATTTACGATATCCACGTTTCCTAAAATAAATAAGAAAATAATTTTATCAATACACAAATTTTATTTGTTACGGTCGCTTACAAGATAAATTGTGTAAAAAACTGTTAATTCACGAATTTCTTTTTTTCTTTGTATAAAAGCAACAATAAAACGGTTCGTACTCTAAGCCTGAATGAACACAACCAGCCTTGAGAATGTTACTGTAATTAAAACGTTTTCTTTGAAACGTTAATAACGACTTCTTTAATTAAAAAAATCTCGTACAACGAAAATCGAATGTACAGTAAAACCTCGATATAACGGATTAATACAGGGAAGGGAGTGTCCGTTATATGAATAATTTTAATGCACACAATTTCGTATAACTATCCACACCGTTTTATATTTATACCAAGGACGGTAGAATCTAAGAGGACTGCTACATCACGGGAATAGGTGCATATATTAAAGGCCCGTTCGTGACGTCAACACTGAATAGCAATTAAAACTAGAACTAACACTAGACCTAGAACTAAAAACATTCGGGTTTAGCCGAGCGTCTCTTAAAACATATACAGGGTGTCTCAGCGAGACCGGTCATTAGACGTTTGTGGGGTTCTCGCGAAAATAAAAATTTGAGAATTCAGACTTAAGTATTATCAATTACGATCTCTTCGTCTAAAATATTTTCAGGTTTCNGGATACCAGAATAAACAAAGAATTTTGAAAATACTATAATATTAATTATTGACTTATTAAAAAAATGTATCTATTAAATTTTGTTTGCTAAAAACGAAAAATTATTAAAAACTAAACATTATGCAAATATGGCTTCAAGTTACAAGAATTGTTCAAAGTTGTTACCATTTTGATGCACACATTGTTCACAAAGTTTAGTAATGCGTTTAATTGCATTTAGAATAGTTATGGGATGTTGCTGTAAATGTGAAAAAGCATCAGTTACAGCAATTTTCAATTCCAATTTTGTTCGATTCTGGGTACTATATACCCGATTCTTGATATATCCCCATAAAAAGAAGTCCAAAATAGATAAATCAGGTGATCTTGCTGGCCATCGCGTTGGACCATGTGTGCCTATCCACCTACCAGGAAATTCTGCAGTTAGGTAGCGACTCACTAACTGCGCATTATGAGCGGGAGCTCCGTCCTGCTGAAAATAAATATTATTTAGCCGAATAAGAGGAATATCATCCAAAATCTCTGGCAAAGCCTCTTGCAAGATGGCCAAATAGCGATTAGCGCAAAGGTTTCCTTCAAATATTTTGTAAACAATTCGTGGCCCAATAATAAAACATGCCACGCTAAAACCAAATTTTCCTTGACGCTTCCGCTCAATTACAATATGTTGGTTCTCTTGATGCCAATGCCTGTTATTATGACGATTATAGGTTCCTGTGCTGGTAAAATATTCCTCATCAGACCATATAATAGAGGAACTAAATTCAATATTATTTTGTGCATGATTCAAATACCAGTTACAGAATTCCAAACGTCGTTCGGCATCTCCCGGGTGTAAGTGGTGAACTATTTGTTCTTTGTAGGGTTTATATTTATACTTTTTTAGAATCGCACAGGCTGTCGATTTTTTAATTCCAACTTGACATTCAATTTCCCTACATGATGTTTTAGGCGCGGCTTCCACACATCCTAACACGGTAATTTCATTGTTATTCCGATTTTCTTTATTATATTTTTTTGGCCTGGGCATCAAAAAACTTCCATAATTGATCAAATTACGCTTTATTCGCAAAAAAATTTTTGAATTTGGTTGCGCTCTTTCTGGATATCTGAAGTGAAACAATCTGCTAATAAAATGTTATTGCTGATAAATGTTGCATTCTACCTATTTATGTATAATTCAGCAGCTTGATTAACATTTTCATTTGCATGAATGTAACATGCTAGCATGTCATATTTTTCATAATTTTCATAGCGCTCCATTTCAAGAAAAAGATAATTAAGTTAAGTTAATTAAAGGTAATTAAGTANAATAGTATTAGTAACGTTATTTATAAACCTACAAAACAGACAAATCCAAATATGTAAAAATATACAGGGTGTTCCATTTAAAAAAATAAAGTAGGTGGCGACTTCCGGTATAAAAGAAGTGCTAGAAATCTGAAAATATTTTAGATGAAGGGAACATAATTGATAATACTTAAGTCTACATTCTCAAATTTTTTGTTTGGCCATAACCCCAGAAACGTCTAATGACCGGTCTCGCTGAGACACCCTGTATTATACATATACCTAATATATAAAATAATTAAATAAAATGTGTCACATAACTTTTAAATTTTTTTTAATGTGCGTTCACGTTTAGAATATTTACGTTGGAAGAAAAAAGGAAGGAATCTCAACGGGCTATTTAAACGGTAATAAATCTTCATTAATAAAACAGCGTGTTAAAAAAGATCCGCTATTCAAGATGCTCGATTAAAATACTCCGGGATCTTATTATTTCGCCATAAAAAATTCCAAGTTAGCCTTATTATTCTTTAACGATCACAACGACTTTGATCACAAGCTGTGCTACCAAAAAAGGATACACAACCTGGTGACCAAGATATTATAATACTGCTTATTCCTGTTGTAGTGTAGGTGGTCTTTCGATTTGAATATTTATCAGGATTAAATTTTGATATGACTTTGAAAGGAGGAAAACATATTTATAACAGCGATTGTAATTAAGTTTAATAAAAATTTATTTATGTTAAGAAAACAATGGAATCGTTCGATTCACCGATTTGTATTAAAATTATTTAATTATGGGAAGTGATTCCTGCATGCTTTCGCACCGCACTTATTCCGCGATTTCTCTTTTGTTTGCCTCCTTTTGTTTAATATTAACTATAAATTGCGGGATTAAACGGTTTATTTAAATTTTATTTATACTTCACGTGCTGTTTTGTCACTTAAAAATTTATGTCGTTCAAGTTATGCGGTTTCAAGGACAAATTTATGTAGGTACACGGCGCGGCGTGAACACAATTATTTTTTTTAATTAAACAATCTTTGTATTCTCATTTAATTCTATATCAAACAATCTACAAAATCTTTTATTTTTGGAAATATGTTTAAGTCACGATATGTAAAGAATGATGCAGTGTTAATCTTCACGAACACAACGAAATCTTTGTTTTTAAAAAACAATTTGTTTTAATTTGATTTTCTGTTATTCCGTCATGGAAAATGGTACCGTTAAGGTTTTTTTAAACCACAAAAGACGTTATTTGTCGTGAGAATTCAGTTAGCAGTAGAGAAACATTGTAATAACGAATACTGCAAATACCAATGACGTAAATTATTAGAAGGAAACAATGAGAATATAAAAAAATGTGTTTTTAATAAATTTAGAAGAAAATAAAATATAGATCTGTTTGTTAACCTATCGAAAGAGTATATTTTTATTACACATGTCATGTAATGGTTGTTGGTATACGTAATCTCTGAGTCATAACACTTAATGTAGTTGTTTTGATAAATTAAGACCGTATACAGGTGTTTTAGAATTGTCTATGCGAAATAAATTAATAATGCTTTATTGATGTTGTATTTAGAAAAGTTTGTGTAATCAACGTAGTTTCCAAGACAACCTCTAAGTAAATCTATAATAATTTGTTTATTCAGCAAAGCTGTTATTAGTACTTAGAGAAAAGTAAATTCAAATATTAAGTACTTAGGGAAGAAATTCTAACAAATCTTGAAGCGTACATAGATTTCTTTTGGTATCATGTAATATTTATCAGTTCCTGCGTCTTTGCTTATAAGTAAGGTATGAAACAGAAATGACAGAAATCGTGTCGACTGATGATTTGAAAATTCAAACAAAAAGTTGTTTTTTAAATTAATTTAAATATAAAACTTGCAAGCTACTTAGATACAGCTACTTATAGGAAGCTTATGTAACAAGCAAATTATAAATCGTAAAAAAATTGATTTATTTAAATGTCCTCGAATACCTTATTTACCTTTAAATACTTTTGTCCTCAATAGTTTCTTAAATAATCAAAGGTATACGCAATTTCTATATTTAGCCAGAAGACTACCTTTTATTTGTATTGCTTTTTTTCTTTAACCTTGACCGTTTTATACTTTTAAGGAATCAAAAATAAACCTTACCAATATTAACCAATTTAACACCATCTTGTTCAATTGCATTTAAAGCCGCAGTAACATTTTCCAAATAATGATGTTGATTCATCGGTCTTTTATTCCATGCGGGCCTAATCGCGTGTCCCTGAAGATTTTCAACCAGTGTGCATAGCCGAACACCTGTACATAAATCTTGCGAAAGATCTTGCACGCGTAAATTCATCGGGAGATTTTCGTTCACCCAATTCCTAAAGGTATTTGCCTGAATCTCTACCCAGACGTCCTCGTTCCCTTTAATCTGCATACCCCTTGCAGCATGTCCTTCAGTACTTCTCGCCAAAAGACCACTATGAGATATTTTTTCAGCCATAATTTTTTTAAATCACTTCAACAAATACTTTAAATAATAATTCTTTTTTTTCAGTTGATAACTTAATTGGTAATAACTTATATGAAGAAACGCACTGGATGACGCGCGAACATGGTTTGTTTTGGTGTTGTTGGGTTTGGTTCGAACTGAAAAAACTCTCCTGGTGCTGCTGCCAACGCGACCGTTGGTTGCGCAAGACTGTTGTGGTACCTGTGTATGGTGATCTGATGCCGGTCGTGTTGCTAGAAAGTGAGAGCTCGATTTGAAACGAAACGCGAAATATGGCACGCCTCTGCTTCCTCTGTTAATACGTAAATACGTGAGTGTCATGTAAAATCATTCAATATTTCTACGTCACATCGTAAATTGTTACAAATTCCCAATTTGATAATTTAGAATTAAGTCTTAATTCCATTTTAAGTTGGTGATTCGAAATTTTCAAATATATTGACATTTTGCGAATTGCAATTTGCGGTGTTAGTTGTCTAAGTTGCAAGGTAAAAATAATTTTGAAGAAACTGAAAGAAACATACCAGATCTTATAAATAGCGCCTATTTATGACTTTGTACTTACCTTAAAAGATGTTAAACTACATTGGATTATGATAAGTTAAGGTTAATGTGACTTAAAATTGGACTGTCGGTAAGGTAGAAAACTATTTTAATGAACTAACGAAGAAAACTTTAATATTTATATAAGCATTTACTTAATTAGTGTAAAAAAATGTGAAAGCGGGTTCATTATGTGACGAAATAGGGCTGAAATAATTTCCAGATTGGAGAATGAGTTAAAAATATTACTATTAAATGTCAAATTTAGATTAAAACATGTAAAAAATTTTCGTATAAATTGGAGATTTGAGGCAAATAACACTCTTTGCAGCTTCTTTAGGTTTAAATATATTATTATAATACTTGAATGTATTGTTAATTACGACTATTATGATAAAGAAATCAGTGATATCAAATTAGTTTGGAGGCGATTGGATAGATGGCGGATGTAGCGGATTGGCATCTATTTTAGCGACGAATTTTGGGACTTACTTGACAACCTTAACAATGACAGTTGACATGAGTTGACAGTACAAATATCAACGAATATATTTCGCTGTGTATCGTTTTTCTTTCTGGTATTAAGTGTTTCAATGGCGTAATGAGAACAATCTTATTGAAGAATTTTTACTTCGTATGAAGGTTACTCTCGGTAAGTCATGGTTATGATAATATTATAGCTTTAGCGAAAAATTTTTGAAGTTACTTTACAATGACAGTTGACAGTACAAATATCATCGAATATTTCGTCACACTATATTATTTTTTTTTGAGGTAAAGTATTTCATTGGAAGTTTACTCTTGGTAAGTACATGTTATGGTATTGTTATAGCCACTCTAATTGTATATGTAGCTACTTTAAGATGGTTACTAATATTAATGTACCAGCTGATTATACTGGCATGGTCGCAAATCGCCAAAACCATGATAATATCATCTAAGTAAATCTGTAATAATTTGTTTATTCAACAAAGCTGTTACATATTATGTAGTAGTATTATGTCGTTAGATTACATATGTAATAATACCTTGACACTTCGGATGGCAAAAAGCTTAAGATCTTACTGACACAGATATGAGATCTTAAATGTGACTTTGATGACATTCTGTAACATTTTGTCAAAGTATTTTACCTGCCCCAAATATTTGACCTTTGTTAAATTATACCGATGTATATTAATAAAACGAATCGCCTGTCACAAATGTGATATTACTGATAAATTACAAAATCTTTAAATTTTGCGGTTGACGTAAAAATGTATGCACCACGTCTGCAAAATATCTTTATCGAACTCGCCAGTTATTCGCTTCGGTTCATAAAGAATCACTTTGCTGACTTGGCACATAGATAACTATTATTACCGTTAAATTAGTTTTGTTTATAACATTTAATCATTAATTTAAGTATTAATACAGCATTTTTCTGAAACTTCAAACGTCATTGACTGCTTTATTGATGTATAAATTTTGTCATTTTCTACATAAAACAAGTTTTCTAATTATACCTATAGTTCGTTTTTTTTCTATAATACTTGTCAATGTAAATTATTTAGGGTTTCTGTTGGTATTATCTAGGAACCTTATAAAATTTATGTTGTTTTCATGATTTTTAGTAACATTTTCGGTAACTAATTAGTTGAGGTTAAAATACTAATAAATTTTTAGATAAATACGATTTTGACGAAGTACAGGGTGGTTCAAATTCGATGTCCGAATAGGCTAACTCGAAAACTATAAGAGTTAGAAAAAAAGTGCTGACATGTCAGCTGACATGTCATGATCTCGTTTTTCGAGAAACTGCTAATGCCGAAAACCTCATAGCGCTATCGTCTTTTGTTTTTCCCCTAGAGGCCAAAATTGAAAATATCGTAAAACCAATAAGTGCAATTATCTTGGTTATTATTATAGGTGGAGTATTATAACTACGACATTATATGGACACTTTTTTACAGAGAATTTCATGACATAGTCAAAAAAAAATTTTCGGTTTTAGATTTTGAGATGTAATGAGAATTTTCGTTTTTTTAAATGGAAACAACCACTGATTATTAGCTTATTAAATTCGTTATTTTTTTCTGATTACAAAAATATAGGGTTCGACAGGTCTATTTCTTATTGTTTTAGAATAAAGCTAAAAATAAACTTTTTTTATAAAATTTCCATCTAGTGTCGTCGAGGAAATTAAATTTACAGTTTCCTGTAAGTTACGGGGCGGTAGGTAAAATCTAAAAAGTTAACAATTAAATACGAAGATAACTTCTGGTATTTAAAAACAAATAATTTTTTAATATGTAACATTCTAACATGTCAAACTTTTCAAAATTTTCGTAATTGATCTTAAAAACAGGATTTTTAAAGTGACACTTCAGAAAATTTTTGAATACAAACAAATGTTGCTATGTTTATTTGAATTTAAAAAAAAACATATGAGCGCCATCTATCGATAATTTATTAAGTCATTTAAAAATAATATTAAATCGTAATAAAAAATGTGAAATAATGCAATCTATTCCAACTTTTGTGTAAAACATATATAAATTAAACAGTTCAACAAATATATTTGTTTCAAATATCAGAAATATGTTTTTTTAATTTTTAGTTATAGAACCGTAATTTACAGGAAACTGTAAATTTAATTTCTTCGACGACACTAAAAGAAAAGTTTATTTTTAGTTTTATTCTAAAACAATAAGAAATAGACCTGTCAAACCCTATATTTTTGTAATCAGAAAAAAATAACGAATTTATTAAGCGAATAATCAGTGGTTGTTTCCATTTAAAAAAACGAAAATTGTGATAATATCTCAAAATCTAAAACCGACAAAATTTTTTTGACTACGTCATCAAATTCTCTGTAAAAAAGTGTCCATATAATGTCTTAGTTATAATACTCCACCTATAATAATAACCAAGATAATTACATTTGCGGGTTTTACGATATTTTCAATTTTGGCCTCTAGCGGAAAAACAAAAGACGATAGCGGTATGAGGTTTTCGGCATTAGCAGTTTCTCGAAAAACGAGATCATGACATGTCAGCTACTTTTCTTCTAACTCTTATAGTTTTCGAGTTAGCCTATTCGGACATCGAATTTGAACCACCCTGTACATATTTGTTGTAAAAACGTGCTACAAAGTAATTAAATAGAATAAAATACCTTTTCTAGATAAGTAAATGGCAAATAAACACCCCACAACACTTTTTATGCACCTTTTCTTTTTGAATAACGAAAGCTCAAACGTCAATGTGACATATTTACTTCAAAACATGATAAAACAAAACTCCCTGTTAATTTTGCCAACTTCATAACAATTTGACAGGTATTATAGAAAAAAAATGAACTATATACATAATTATTGCTATTAATGTAGAAAAAATTTAATCTACTTGTAAATTACGGAATGATCCATCAAGTCCAAAGCTGAAACTAGAATCCCAAGACATTTTTTCTTTGGGTATTTGACGTTGAACACGAACTTTGCTTAGTTTACTTGTCAATGTCAAATGATTTTCTTGAAAATATTTTTTCCAATCATTAGCTAAATCGTTCAAGCTGAAACTATTTCCTCCGCATTCAATGGGTAAATGTGTTATCGGGAGGTAATTTAATAAATCTTCGGGTTGGTTATGTATTAAAAACCTGTTTTTTAATTTATCAGTTAACACCGATTTCATTAATATTAACCCCGGTTTAATAATTGGTTTACAGTTGATAATATGAAAATTTCTTAGTCGGTGTGGAAAACTACTTAATAGGAATTTCATGAATTCTACAAAGGTACTAAAATCAATTTTAGTAATAATTTCGGCTGAAATGTTTTTAAAATCAATAATTATAATTGCCCCACTACAATTATCTTCAAAAAGTAAAATATCAGCTAGAAAACCAGAATTAGTTGCAAATATCTTAGCAAATATAATTACCTACTTAAATTTAATGCATAATTTAAAAGAGAAATTAAATTGAATTCTTCCATAACTTCCGGAATAGAACAAAAAACGAGTCTGCAACCATTTTCGGTTAAATAAGGTAATATAAGACTTTGCCTGTACAAACAAATTGTTTAAATTAATTAGTAAAGAAAAATATTTATAAAAGTAATTACCTGATTACGTTAAAATCAATAATTCCAGGTTTAAACTTCATTTTAGAAAGCAACTGCGAACTTCTATTTATTAAATTAGTTTCAAATTTGATTTTGGCTTTCGATAAATCATCTTTGCATAACAACAAAAAATTAGATAAATAAGCCTCATCGAATTCTTGAGGTAAATATTTTTCGGTACTCAACCAATTTTTAAAACGATTTAAAAGGTGTTGGTGGCGCGCTTCATCCACACCAAGAACATTATAAATTTGTTGTAATTGAATTTCGCTGGGTAAAACTAAGGGGAAAGACATTTTAGTAAAAACAAAGTAAGTAAATGGAAAACGCGAGGATTGAAACAAACTAATAGTACTAGGTTTAGATTATCGGCCTTTTTATATGTATAGTGCAAATTATCGTAATTTTCAAGGTTTTGGTGTTATCAACTGCATTAAAGAGCGAAATAGGATTCTAATTCTATACGGCTGGTTTAAAAGTCATCGAAATTAATTAAAAGTAAAAAAAAGTTGTTTCAAAATTGAATTTTATTGTTTATCCGATTAGAAACGATTTTTCTTATTATTCGTAGTCAATCAACTTGCATATTTCTAAATGTTCCATCTGTTCCAAAACCAGAATTCTGATCTAAATGAAGTTTTCCTTTAGGAATTTCCCCTGTTAATTTAAGTTTGGAGAGATTCGTTTTCCATTCGTTGTTTTCTTTCCAATAACTTAACCATTCATTAGCTACACTTTCAATGTTTATGGTACCACCATATTGCACCGGAATAAAATCTTTTGAGAGATAATCCAAAACGTTTTCGGGTTTATCATGAAAAAGGAACTTTAAAACAACAAAAAATATTTTTTTAGTGTTTTTTTTTCATCTTACCCTTTTCTTTAATTTTTCTGACATAACTGATTTTACCATAGCTATTATCGGTTTTGCAAACGATGTTACGTTTATCATATGGTAATGCATCAATCGCTGAGGAATTGCTTGCAAGTAAAAATGTACAAAATTCATTACTACAGAAATTTCGGTTTTAGTTAGTATATCTGATGTACAATTAATAAAATCTGCCACGACAACCACTCCGGAAAATGGCTCGCCCATCGTTAATCTGTCAACTTAAACAAAAACTAATTATAACTGAATTATTTTTTGGTTTATTTATTTACGAATCATTCCTTCATATTTGATTTGATTTGTTGTATCAAAATGTTTTGGATCTTTCGGTAATGAAACATAAATAACTCTGTATCCTTCAGCTGTTAGTCTTTTTGATGGAACAAAAGTTCTAAATTAAAGGTATTATTAAGATAAAGAAGATATGTTTGGATCATTTTCAATATTACCTTGCCAAATTCGTTTCTTCTATACAATCCATTGAGAGTTCCAAATCGTAATTAAAAATCAGCGTGCTTTTTCTAGCGATGATATTCGTTTCGAATTTTTCTTTAGTTTTTGCCAAATCATCTTTACACAACAGCAAGAAATTTGAGTAATATCCATTTTCTAAAAGAAATGTACGATTAAACTAAAACTAGACGTAATAGTAGCAATATCGCTAGAATTAACACTAGACCTAGAACTAGAAACTTTCGGGTTAAGCCGTTTCAAGAGACGCACGGCTAAATCCGCATGCTAATCCAACATAGGGTTAGGAGGGGGGGGGTTGTTATTGACAAGGTCTAGGGTCTTCTGTTGATCTTAGACTTTATACATTAACCCATATTATCCCAGATCTACAAAAATATGCCAGGTTCTTATAAAATTTACATCCGTTCATCTTACGTCGTTCAGAAATACAGTAGTGAACAAAAAAAATGTATACGACATTTAGTTTTATATTTTTAGAATTAAATAATATTACCCGGTTCGATACGTAAGACTAAATGAAAAACTATTTTTTGTAACTTTTATTATAGTAATTAATAACTCAACAATAAACACCATACTTGAAACTAAAACATACATATGAACTTATTACTATTCGGGTGTTATTTCGTGTGAAAATTAGTTGAACATTTATGATGCAAAGCAACACTACATTTTATACATTTCATTGTGGTGTTCTTATGACACAGTGCACATCGGCTTTGTTTATTTTGTTTCCCAATGAAATGATTACTGCCATCTAATAACTATCAGCAACTCTTTTTATGACTGCCAAAGTCGATTTAGGCACTAGAATCTTTGTGGGTGATGTTGAGTTTGTTGTATCTTTCAACATAAAGTATGTAGTCACAATGTACCTTGTAAAAGATAAAAGATCGTGGCGATTATTTTTGTATTCTGGAGAAATTTTGTAAAGCTGAAAGGCGTTGTTCACTGAAACATTCAATGGAAACATCAGAAGCTGCCAGTACCATCTTTTCAGCCAAATCGCAACTCTATAACACCCCACATTTTGATCTAAGCGATCAACTCCACCCATATACTTATTATAATTGACGATACAACAGGGTTGGTCGACAGCTTTTTTTTGTTTATTGCAGTATCGCTTTACGGTACCAATAGGTCTGACACCGGACTCGGTGGATGCAACCGTAACGATATTATTATCGTTGTATCGGACCAGTGTTATTCCAGATAATACATCTGTGCATTGATGGTAGCTGCCTATTTTCATTTTTTTCATTTCTTTCTTATCTTTTAGTGGTGCTTTTTCCACTCTATTTTCTCGAATTGTTCCAGTAGCATCATGACCTAATTTCTTTAGTTCGTTCAGCAATGGTAAAGACGTAAAAAAATTATCCATATATAAACTATAGTTAGCTGGAGGTAGTCTGGATAGTAGGTCTAAGACAACTGATCCACCGACACCAAATTCTGGATGAGTGTTTCCGGTGCTTGCTCCTTGATAAAGTTCGCCGTGTATCAAATAACCTAGACGCGTACATATAGACCAAGTTTTATAACCAAACCTTATTGGTTTTCCATGAATATGTTGCTTAGCTCCATGCTTCCCATAGTATGGAATCATTGACTCGTCGATACTCAAGTTTCTATCGCCAGGGTAATATTTCAACCACCTTTTATTCAGCAAATCCCAAAGTGGACGAACTTTCGCAAACCTATCACCTTGAGTAAGATTAGCATTGTCAGCAACGTGAAAATAACGTAATAGTTCTTCAAATCGATTTCGGGACATAAGGGATGAAATTCCTTGATAGTTGCAGTCGATACTTTTCTCCCAATACATCCTGTATCTGGCAACACTGTTATATCCACTCATCAACAGGATTCCAATAAAATGCTTTATTTCAATCGTTGTAACCCTAAATGCATGATTACCTTTCTCAATAGCATTTCTTTCTGTTTCCGAACGCAAAAGTTCATAAACATTACTATCAAAAAATAATTCGAAACAGTTCACAGGATTTTCTATGTTTTCCAAAAAATAGGGATATTCAGTTACTTTTTCTTCTTTTTCCGGAATATCTATGAACTTCCATTTCCTGGTAACATCGATTCGCCTTCTCTTTGTTGGAGGTTTTGCTGTAGAAGCGGAAGCGACTGAAAATTCAAATGATTCGTTTTCATTCGTGACATCATGCACATATTGTACTCCGCCTTTTGATGATATTGTAGCGCGATATTCGGCTTCTGCTAACAACTGACCCCTGGATAAGTGATTTATATTTACTGACTCTTCATCACCACTATCTTCTTCACTTATTTCCCCATCAGGTGGTGTTATAAAAATGTCTCCACTCAACAGTTCATCGTTTTCTGCTATTAGTGTGATTATGTCGCCTACTGATAATCTAGAATAAAATAACAGAATTCTCCAAATAAAAGGATCAAATTGGAATATTTTACACAGGCATATTATCCTACTGTTCCAAAAACGGAACGGTATCAGATTTATTTGTTATATAAATAGAAAATACTTACTTTTTACGGCGATCCATATTTTGAAAGAAACTTTCGGTTTTTATACTTGTTTTTTACAAATGTCGATGCGAAACGTACAACGTCAAATATTAAATTTGACAGCTAACAATCCCGGTAGTACCAACGTATAAGAACAAATAATGAACATTCTCGAAAATATGTTAAAAATATTAATAAGTTAACCGTTCCAATAATGGAACACTGGGAAGATATGGGTTAAAGCCTGTTAAAGAATCTTTTTAAGAAGAACGACGAGATTAAACAAGAGGATCTTGGAAGATGCAAACTTGTAAGTATTTAATCGCTGAGTTAGTCGCAGTCCTATATAGAGCTTGGTAAATGTTTAGGTAATTGTAGATCTCCTTGCTAGATACTACAAGGTATACAAGTATCTTTATAACATGAAACTTGTTGATACCTATCTTTAACTTTACTGGTTAACCCCAGGTGGTATCAGAAACACCTCTTGAGACATATCTTAGCCTTTTGGTAATCCTTGGGATGGTTGATGCCACTAAATATGGGAATTATGCGCACGAACAATACACAAAAATACTTTTTTTATAAAGATTGGGTTATAAGGACTGATGTTTATAAGGATTGTGGCATTTGGGTTGCCTACTCGCATCTAGCTGATAACAAATGAAAGATAACAATGATTGTTAATAATTTTTCTTACCAATATTATCCGGTAAATGTGGTTGGCATTTTATCCAATCTATAAAAACCTCCAAAATTCTTTGATGTCTTTCTTCATTTATTCCAAGATTTTTATAAATTGCTTTTAATTCTGTTTTGGTAATAGGATTTATAGGATACGACATTTTTTCTCGATCCGATCAGGAAGAGATCTTAAATGCAAATAGTATTTTATGATATGAACTTGTAACTTGTAGCTTTTATATCGCATCCATCAATTTTCAAGTTAAATAATTGACTTTTTTTAAATGTAATTAATTGCACTTGATTTTAACACTTTATTGACGCAAGCAACTTTTGAACTACAATGTAAGGTTAAAATTACTTTAATATACAAAAATTACTTTTCAACCAACAAATTGAATACAAATTAATCGATATTCAATTTTCTGAAACTACCGTCTAAAGAAGCAGTATCAAAATCTCCAATTTGATTCTTTCTGTCTTTCGGTAAAGGACCCAAAAGTTTGTTATCAACCATATCTTGAACAAGTCGCTGATTCGCCATAAAAAATTTTCGAAAATCTTCCCCAATTTCATCTAAGCTATACGATTCGCCACCGAACTCTTTCGGCAAATCATCAACATCGATGTAATCAGTTAATGTAGAGGTATTTTTGTGATAAACAATTTTTTTGCGCGTTTTTTCCCCTAACATCGTAACAATTACGTTCACCAGAATTTTAGAGGCTGCTGTTAAGCCGCAAAAATGAATTGCTTTAATTCTAAATGGCATAACTCTAGCAAAAACTTCCACGCACATTTTGAAAGTTTTCATGTTCGTGTTGGCTAAAAATTCTGTGTAGAAATCGTTCAAATCGATGATGAAAATGACTCCCGATGAAAAATCTTTACATATTAAGTATTCTCCTTTGAAAAAATTAAAAATATAAAGGATATTATTACTATTTTAAAAAAATAATTTGTTACCTAAAAGATACGCATAAGAAAGGAAATGTTCTACGCAAACATTTGGGGCGTCATCGCTGTTAAATCTTGTAAAACAAATTCTGTAACCGTCGTTAGTTAAACGTCTAGAAGTGTTAATTCTTCTATAAAATAAATTTATTGAAAATATTTCAAATATATCGAGATATAAAAAGAAACCTGTGCATTGGAAATTTGAAGACATCATCCTTTAAAAGTCTTGTGTAATCAAAAAATTTCGTCCAACTGTATTTTGCATATAAGAAAGTTTCCACTTTCTTCCTGGCTTTCAAAATGTCGAATTTCGATGAGCGAATCATATTTTTGATAAACATTTGATCTAAAAAATGTATTAATAATGTTGTTAATTAATTAAAATAAAAGCTAATTTAATTACCGATATCTTTAGAAAGATGATCTTGCGAAAAAATCCATTCTTTCATCAAATCGAATCGATTTTGTAACTTTTCATCAGTTTCCGCAGTTTTTTCTTTAATCATTTTCGATTGACCTTCATTAGCGAAAAGGATAACGTAAGGAAACATTTTATAAAGAGTTTTTCTTTATGTTTATAAATTTTTTCTACTTTTTTCACTATTTATAGTAAATTGATTGAAAAAAATTCATTAAATAGTGGTTCATTTATAAATAATGATACGCTATTAGGATGTTTAATTATACTGTTATATAATTTATTTAATTAAATTTGTTAAACGATAGCTTATAAATTTAAATTTAATTCCGTTTCAAGACGTGGAAATAATAAAATTCTTTGATAAAAATGGAAAAACCTTCCAATATACGCGCGTGGGTTTTACTTCAATAAAATATATAACTAGCTATATCTAGCGCTAAATAACAATTAAAACTAGAAGTAACACTAGACCTTACGGATTCTTACGGACTCTAGCAGAGCCTCGTTGGAGCTTCTCATGCAGACTCACTTCCCAGGAAGCCTGATGATGAGGGCCGATAATGCCATAGCGGGCTATTCCTGCAAGGCAAAGCGCCCCTCAAATACGGATTGGAGTGTGGCTAGAAAAGTCGTCACTTACACATCCGTGGACCAGGCAATTCAAACGTTTAAGCCGTTCAAATCGCCTGGAGAAGACAATATCTTTCCTGCTTTGTTACAGCAGGGGAGGTCTTTGTTGTTGCCAATTTTGGTAAAAATTTTCAGAGCGAGTGTCGCCTGGAAATATGTGCCGGCAGAATGGACTAAGGTACGGGTATCTTACATACCCAAAGCGGGCCGTTCGGTCCCTACTTCTAATGCCTTTCGACCCATCAGCCTAACGTCATTTCTGCTGAAAACCCTTGAAAAAGTTCTGGAACGGTATATCCGTACGGTGCCATTGGTATCTGGTCCACTGAGTCGCCACCAGTATGCTTATCAAGCGGGAAAATCAGCAGAATTGGCTCTACACAACTTAGTTGGTAGAGTATCCAGGACGCTGCAGGATAAAGAAATCTTGGTTTGTGCGTTTCTGGATATAGAGGGAGCGTTCAACAACGCAATACCACAATCTCTTGAAAGAGCTGCTCTTGACAGGGGAGTGGAAGCAACTATAGCGGGTTGGATCCGCAATATGCTAGATAGTAGAATAGTTTCTACTTCACTCCACGGTGATACGATACGCTTCAGGCCGGGAGGTGGCTGCCCGCAGGGAGGGGTGTTATCTCCCCTGCTTTGGTCCCTCCTAGTTGACGATCTGATTGCGATAGTCGAAGCCGTTGGTGTGGAAATACAAGCTTATGCTGATGACATTGTCGTTATGGTCAAAGGAACCTGTTTGCCGAGGATATCTAAAGTCCTCCAGGTGACCCTAGATACCATTTGCGCTTGGTGTAAGGGAGAGAACCTCTCAATAAACCCGCAAAAGACAATTGTTGTGCCCTTCACCAGGAAGCGAAAGTTGGATGGACTAATCCGCCCAACTATCCAAGGTGAAGAAATTCCTTTCTCAAAGGAAGTCAAATATCTAGGAGTAATCCTAGACAAAACCCTGTCATGGAATGGACATTTGCAGGGAGTTTTGCACAAAGCTAGACTATCCTTGTGGACTTGTCGCAGTCTTTGTGGAAAAAATTGGGGTCTTACCCCTGAAAGACTGTACTGGCTCTATGTGACTGTGGTTAGACCTATGATCACATACGGAGCAGCAGCCTGGTATAGGAAAGTCCGACAGACTTCAGTTATCAGTAAACTTTCACGAATTCAACGAGTAGCTGGATTGGCAATCTCTGGTGCGATAGGCACAACGCCAACTCTAGCAATGGAGGTTCTGCTTGGCCTATCTCCTCTGCATTTGCATATAGAGAAAGTGGCTAGAACAACCATTTACAGATTTAAGCAATATGCTCAAAACTGTTCCGACATGTCCTACCAATGGGCTGCGGAAGACATTATAAGCACTGATACTGTGCTATCAATGCCGTCAGATTTGGCGGTATCACTATCAGTGATTAATGCTCGATACCAGATTGTACTGCCTGAGCGGCAGTCCTGGATCGAAAATGAAAATTCTCTGGTTCGGGCAGACATTTGCTTGTACACAGATGGATCAAAAACGCCTGAAGGGGTAGGAGCAGGAGTATACTGCCAGACACCTCGAATTAAGCAAGCCTACAGCCTGGGTACGTACTGTACTGTATTCCAGGCGGAAGTATTTGCTATTGACATGGGTGCTAAAATCCTTCTTGAAAGAGGGGTGAAGAACATGACAGTACGAATTTTCTCAGACAGTCAAGCCGCTCTCCAGGCGCTGCAAGCCGTGAAAACGGTGTCGGCTCTGGTTAATGATTGTAAGAGAACATTAAACACACTGAGTTGTGATAACAGAGTCTCTCTGATCTGGGTCCCGGGTCACTCTGGGGTTGCTGGCAATGAAGCGGCAGATAAGCTAGCACGAGATGGCAGCGCTGAAGCGTTTGTGGGACCGGAACCAGCAGTTGGTGTATCATTTGCGATGGCCAAATATAGGATTGGACTGTGGGCTGAAGAGAGACTTCGCCTACTGTGGACCAGTTCTCCTGGAATGAGACATGCTAAGGTGTTTATTAACATCGCCACTGTCAAACCCGGGAATATTTTAGGACTTGCCCGTAGTAGCATAAAAGTTCTAATGGGTGTTTTTACTGGGCACTGCCGATTAAAAGCACACCTCAACTTGTTGGGTTTAGCCGACGATGTTGAATGCCGACTATGTGCGGAGGAAGCAGAGACGGTTGAGCATGTTTTATGCCACTGCCCTGCCGTTAACCGTATCAGATTCTCGATTTTTGGGTCGCAGTTTATCTCCTCAAAAGATCTGAATGACCTTTCGCCGAGCAAGGTATTAATGTTCGTTAAGAGCATTGGACTGCACGGTGAAATTTGATAATGATATCTATCGGGGTACAATAGATCCTTAGGGTCGCGGTGTAAGGTTGGTTGGTCCGCCTACCCGATATGTATTCTATGTAATGTAATGTAATGTAACACTAGACCTAGAAAGTTTCGAGTTTAGCCGTCTCTTAAGACGGCTAAACCCGAATGTTTCTAGTTCTAGGGTTTGTTTTAGTTCCAGCACTAAAACTAACACTAAACCAAGAAACCAAATGTTGGAGCTAAAGCTAGACTAACACTAGACCTAGAATTATACAATTTTAATAATAAAAGTAACAATTTTTCCCTAGAAAAATGGAATTTAGTTTTGATTAATGAATGATGTATGTTTGGTTGCCTGCATTAAACTTTAAAATATATTTTTTATGTTTTATTTTTATCGTTCGTTTTAATCATTTTCAATAATTTATTGCATAATATTTTCTGCTAAAACCTGCTTCGGGTCAAGGATAAATCTGGTTAAAAACCAAAAAGAAAAAAATAATAAAAAGGAAAAATAATTATTTATAACTAAAAAATGCAAATTCCTTGATAATATTGAATTTTTGTGATAATACAAAGACGTAAATAGATAATTAACAACAGCAAAACATGTGTATATATATGTATACAGTAAAATTATAAAAAAAAAACCGGTTGAATAAATATAGGTTCATTCTCCTCGATTTGAATCTCCGTCTTCGCAGCATTCTGCAACTGTTGCTTAAAAGATGTCCACCGATTTAGTATTAAATCCACCGACTTTAAACGAATTGGAAATAATCCACAAAGATTTAGGAATTGATCAAGATAAAATCCAATATAATTTGGATTTATTAAAAAAGTGGTTGGATAGCGAAAGTTATTTACCGCAAAATATTGGTAAGAAAAGATATAAAAAAGATTTAAATAAAAATTTATAAAAATTGTTATTAATATTATAGATGACTCATTATTAAAGAACTTTCTAAGAGGATGTAAAGGAAATTTAGAGAAAACTAAACAAAAACTGGAAAAATATTTTGCAGTCAAAACTAAAATTCCTAATTTATTTATGCAAAAAGCAATAATCGAAGATGATTTCATCTTATATGAAATGCAAAAGTATTAATTAACATTAATTTATTAAAAAAAGTTATAATTTTTTCTTTTAGGTGTGTTTTTATATCAACAAATTACACTATAAGTGGAAACAGGATAATAATTTTTAGATTACCAACTCAAGATGTAACTTATTTTGATCATGCAAAAATTATAAAATACGTTCTTTTAATAAGTAAGTTTTAACACAAAGAAATTTAATTTAATTTTCATTTTTTTCAGTCGAATTTCTTTTATACAATGATTTGACATCAGGATACGATTTTATTTACGACGCTAATCACGTTACAGGACAAACAATAAGTAAATTAAATCTAACAGGAACAAAACATATGTTCAATTTATTTTACAATATCCTTCCGATTCGCACCAGATCTCTTTTTATGTTAAATTCTAACAAATTTTTTGAAATAGCTATGGAATTAGCAAGAACTGTAATGCCTAAGAAAATTAAGGATAGAGTAAAATATGGAAATTTACAAGATTTAAAGCGTACCTATCCAATAAATTGTCTTCCCATAGAATATGGTGGAACTGATCGATGTATTGATGATCTTTCTAAACAATATTTACAGTTATTTAAAAATGATCCAGGTTGGATTGAAAGAATCGGCAATGTTAAAATGATCGGACAATTACCAGAACATAAAAAGAAATTGTATTCTTTTGACGATTTTAATATGGATGGTAGTTTTCGTAAATTAAATATTGATTAACCATCGAATAAAAATTATTTTGAATAATAATACTCTAAAATCAAAAAATTATTGAATTAAAATGAAAATATGTATATTTTGACATAACATCAATTATTTTTTTTGGTTAAAGATGACATTATTAACACATTAACCATAATAAATTGGTTTAATTAAAAATTGTATTGATTTACCTTCACATGCATCCAGTGATGGGCGCTGGGTAAATACCCGAAATAAAATGGGTATTTATCCCAGCCCAGGGTAAATACCCAAACAGAGTACGTATAAAAGTGATACAAGTAAAAATATATCAAAATAAATGAATAAAAATGAAGAGGAAGATGATGAAATGGGCGTTGAAGACGAGGAATTGCCGACGATCGAAAACGTACTATCATCAGACGAATCTGTCGTAATTTAGATTAGATCAAGTTATTATGATTATTATCATCAAGCTTTGCCACAATGATGACCACATCGTTTACGCCAGTTCTTCTTCATAGGTCTTCATTTAGTACGTGGTCCCTCAGGGTTATACCCAGCATCGACTTCTCCATCTATCTTTGCGTCACTTTGAGCCTCCTGTCAAATCGCCCTGTTTGATGGCGCATAGGAAACATACAATTTTAACCACATATAGAACGTGCTGAAATTGTGAAATTTTATATCCATAAAAGTTCCTCTGTTACACTTGCTCAACGCGTGTACAGAGCAAAATATCGCGGTCGACTTTGGCAACATCGAAGCCCACAGTTAAGGCTATAGCTGCTGTAAGTGTTGATATTCAAAAGCGTGACAATGGCGCGACGGTGACGGTCAACTGAACTCAAAGAAAATGGCATGGAGGACTACTGGTTCCAGAAAGATGGTGTAACTATTGATGGCTCTATTGATAGATACCGAAAAGTGGTGATTATGACTGGCTGGTGCGTTCGCCTGATTTAACGCCTCCTGGCTTTTCCTGTGGGGATACCTTAAGAGCCAGGTTTATGTCAACATGTCAGACACTCTCGAGCAACTTAAGACCAACAGACGCCAAGAAATCGCCGAAATAACGCCCGAAACACTCGCAAAAGTGATGAAAAACGTCAAAAAAAGAGCCGATTTTGTGGTGACAGCTGGGGTAAGCCACGTACTAGTCATCATTTTCAAAAAGTGGCTTAACAAATTGTACAAGTCCAAATTTCAATAAAATGATAGAATTCAAACAAAACATTGAGTTGGTTTCAAGTTATTCAAAAAATATCGCTTACAACAAAATGACACCTTGTATACAGGTGTACAGGTGTCCCAATTTCGATGTCCGCATAGGCCATCTCCGAAACTAAAAGAGATAGAAAAAAAGTAGCTTACATGTCATGATCTCGTTTTTCGAGAAAATGCTAATGCCGAAAACTCCGAACAGCTATCGTCTTTTGTTTTCGCCCTATCGGCAAAAACTGAAAATTTTGCGAAAACGACAATCGCGAATATCTCACTTATTATCAAAGATGGAGTATTATAAATAA